GAGCTAAATCTTGGGCTAACTCTCACAGGAAGCCTGGAAACAAACAAAAAAAATTGTCCTCCCTCTCTCTTTTTGAAACTGGGGGGAACATGTGCTGCACCTTCTCAGATCAGCACTTCTGAAAATCCAGTGGATTCTTGAAAGTGTTGGTGTATTTTTTTCCCCTGCCTTTTTCTGGAGGATCCAGGAGCCTCTAGGATGTGTAGGAAATTCCTCACATCAGCAGCTGCTGTCCTAGGGAGGTACTGACCCATCTGAGCTGGCGCGGCCTTGGCCTCCCCCAGGAGGAGCAACTTTATGACTTTTTATGACTAAGAGCTGCTGTGAGGAGGTAGGTGGAACCTGTTGTGCTGTTCTGAATGAACTTCACCTGCAGGCATTCTTCTCCTGCAGTAATTACATTAACGTGCAGCTTCCTGCTGTACTCCCGACAGCCTGAGCTGTTGCAGTTAATTCCAAATTGCACTGGTGGAGCAGGGAACTTCTGACAGCTTCCGTTTTCCTACTAACATAGAAAATAGAAAAAGTTGTGTTATTTTATAAATACACTGTCCAGCTGTTCTTTTGCTACTAACATAGAAAATAGAAAAAGTTGAGTTATTTTATAAATACACTGTCCAGCTGTTTTCGTCTGAAAGTGACTCATTTGTGTTTGTTGTGAAAATGGGTTCCTCAAAGATAAAACTGAATGAAATCTCAGGATCAGATAACCACAGGCCTATCTGTACATTCTAATTCAGCATTAGCAGTTTTTTGCTGTGCTTCAAAGCAAAGCCCGTGGGTTTCACTCATGGGTGTTTTGAGCAGGAGAACGCGGGTGGAGTGGAACACTAACTGCAAGAGCTGTTCCGGGGTCAGAAGGCTCTGTCTGGGAACCAATATACTACCTCTTCGACCGGGCCAGCACTCCCTTCCCCGCAAACTGCCATGGTGCAACGCCCTTTTCATACCCAGGAAGCCTGGCGTAGTGGGCTCTGTGCCAAGGACTGCTCAGTCCTTGCAAACAGTGACATAAATGTCACTGCACTGATGTGTCATTACAGTCAGCTGCTTTTCAGACAACCAGCAGGGCCTGGTGTTGGTATTTCTAAGTATCCTGCATACAGTCAACACTGTTTGGTTCAGCTAAGGACCTGCTGCTCAGAGCTATGCGGTGTGACACAGATCTGTCACCCCTCAATTTAACAGGAAGTCAGTGCTTCCCAGTGAATGTCACAGCCTGTCTGTGGACAGCATTTGGGATGTTCAGTCAGCTTCACGAGTTTAATGCTGCCGCCGGCAATGACACTTTTGATATCAAATGGGTTTTTACAAAAGCTTTGGATACTCATTTTTACTGTCTGACATTCTGTCTTTATTACGAATGCTTTGGGTACGTTTCATGAGCATTTTCCCAGTGTTTGTATGGTTTCTACAGCTGGGTATCCTGTACGTTCTGCTTTGTTGTTTTCTATGATGGTTTATACTGGAAAGCCTGCATGGTTTGTACTGTACTGCAGGCAAGGACTGTATTAAAACCCTTTTTGGCTAATTTATTATACTTGTGAATTGTCATTTCCCATGATTTAAGCTATGCTCAGGGCAAACATTCTCTGCCTGGAAGCCGTACACAACTTATTAATTAATTGAAATTACTGCTTGGAGTGGGGCAGGTTCTGTATCTGTGTCAAAAAAAAGGGATTCCCTCAAGGCTGCCCCTTGTCTTACAGATACCGGCTGGGGTAGCCCAGGCCTTTGCATTCCGCTTAGTTGGTGAGTGGTAGGAAGCACTTCACTTGAGATCCCATTCTCTAATCCTGCACTTTTGAGACTATCAATATATTTTTAAAATAATAATGGACTTTAGATTTTCCCAAAGTTATAGTAAAGTAAGATATTGGCTAGTTTGTCAGAGATTGTTTACTTGGTACCAGGGGAGTTAAAGGCAAAGAAAGAAAGAACTGGGCTGCAGATTCACGTTTAATCTGATCGGTACAATTACTGCACTGAGGATTTTGAAAGGGCCCTAAGCCACGGGGGCCATGTTTGTCTTTTGACTTCAAGCCCTGTTGCTCTACAAACAAAGCTAGAAATTGAATTCAACTTTTTGCCACAGCTTTCCCTTCCTGAAAGTTTTAAGATGCAAAACGTAAGTACTGTACATGTAGCGTTTCTGTGCTGCTCCCCCTCAGTTCCCACCCCATTTGCCAGGGCTGCACTGCAACAGGGAGCTTCTTTATTCAGTACCACTGAGCAAGGCAACTGCAGATGTTTTACCATTTAAAAATAATCTATATAGAGCAAAATGCAAAGCACTGTATCTTTAGTTCTTGGCCACCAGCCAGAGACTGAAAATTCTGCCAAAAATTCCGTGTGGCTGTGAAGAACTACATCCAGTTCCAAGTGCACCCATCATTTTGGAAGCATTCAGAACGGCTGCCCCAGCTTACCTGGAGTGATGTAAACACTGCCACTAGAAACGAAGTACAAACCTTTGTGATTTAGTTGTTTTATTTTGCTCTTGCAAGCAGCCACAAGACAGGCTACAGAAGAATAAATAAATTAAAAGCAGAGAGTGTAGCAATTTATACAACCCCAGCATTGAGATGCTTGCCTTTGTAATGACAGAGTGCCTCGTTACTGTACCTGGTCCGGAGTTCAGGCACTGACTGACCAGAACTAATCGAAGTCAAGTATTTCCCCTTTGGCCAAAAAGATTTTTAAACATACCCTCAACTACCTCAACAATAATAAAACGTAGAAAAAAAACCTCTTGTAAGATCAGAGAGTCATGTCCGTTTGTTCCAAGTGTGTCAGTCTGTTCCAAAATACTTCTGTCCAAAGTGTGTTGGTGCGACAGGATGAACTTCTGTGGTTAAAATGGTGATCTCGGGGAATTCCTGGATGATGGATTTGGCACCTTTTGAGAGAGGGCAAAGGCAACAATGACTACAGGACTGCAGTTGTATTTCAGCACTGCATGTTAAATCCTGATTAGCAGAAGGCCCTAGGTAAGTCTGCCTCTGTTCTTCCTGCTTCGTGTTTCTGCCTTAGCTCACTGCCTACGAGGAAAAGCTTCCTGAATTTAGTGCACTGGTGGTTTGGGCTTTCTTATTGGGATTTTTGTTTTCTTTACCATACACATGTACTCCCAATCTAATCACCAAAGGGGTTACAGAGAGCCAGGAATGACTCTCTCCACCTTAGTTGTCTTTTTTGCTAGTGATTTGTGCCATGGGCAATTGTAAAACAACACAGCAGATCCATTTTCCTACCTCACAGAAACAGACGTTGCTTTGTTTGGATCCCCTTTTACAAGTTAAGATCTTTAACGTGCAGGCAGGACTGTTCTGCAGCTTCATCGGTGGCTGACCAACTCAACACCATCCATGGGCTGCTAGAGTCCAGAGCAACAGCAGGACTGGCATTGCTTTGTGAGCCACTGAAGCATTTTGTTGATCTAGCAGCGCTGCAAATTCCTGCTTTTAGGAATACTTTACCATTTGCACTTTTGCCATTAGGTGTAACAGGCGTTTTCCCTTCGGTGAGCCCACTCCACTGCCCCCACCAAACATGTTGCTGTTCACTCTCAGTTTTACAATTCAGCCAAAAACAACAAAAAAAGAAAGAACCTCTCCTCTTTCTGAGAAAGCGATGCTGCTGTTGTTATTTGCCAAGGAGCAGCTCTTCACCACTGTCCAAAGCATGTGCCTAATGTAACTCCTCCCCATCAACTGTACCTGCATCATTCTTCTGCCCCCCTCGCGGCCCCTCAGCTTACCATGAGGCGTGGAGAACAGGCTGAGCAGGATAATGACACTTGGTTGTACGCCATGTTCTACAAGAACTTTGACAGCCTCAATGACAGTATTACCAGTACCTAAAAGGAGAAGAAGTGAGATTTTTGGGTTTTTTCTCCCCTGGTTGAAGAACTTGTCCCGGGCCATCCAAGAATATCGGTGTTGACACTGGGGTGTGACTGAATGATGACACTGTCCTGTCCCCCTGGAAAACTATCACCTCTAAGTGTAGAAAATTTTGGTCTCCTGATGAAGGAACATCATCTCTACTCTGGAACAGCCAGCTCTGCCAGGGTTTAAGCACTGAGGTTGGTGCATTTTATTAAAGCCCTGAGGCAAGAAAGCTCATCTAAAATAGCAAAATGGCAATTAAGAGCTCCATGTGTAGAACCAGAATTTAATCTTAGATGGGAAAAGTTACTTCATCCTGACAAACTTCTTACCACACTTACCAGATTTTTTTTTTTGTAGTATTAACTGTATTTAATTTTAAGATAATTTACTTCTAGGATTATAATATTAATCCAAAAATCTTTTAATAGCATGAGAAAAATACTGTTTGAGTCTTTTCTCATGGCAAAATTAAAAAAATTAAATTTCTATCCAGTCTTAATGCTTCAACCTTTCTCACAAAGGCAGGCATGCCCAAATGATTTGCTCTGCATTCATGCTGGTGCAGGCTGACTGATGTGTATGCTGGCCCAGACTCATAAATTCCCTCCTATGTCACTTAAATCAAGGAAAAAACCTCAAAGCCCCTGAAATTTGGAAGTTTTCCTTTAAATTCAGCTCACCCACTGTTCAGATGAGTTGTACTGTCCGTAAGGAAGAAAGACACTCACTTAGTATTGGGTACATGAGAAGAACTTTTCTCCTGTAAATGTCAGGTGGAAACTTAGCGTAGTACACTTTTGCTCTTTGAGTCTCTTCATCGCTCTGGATCAGGATTTTTCCGATGCGGATTGATCTACAGCAGTCTCGTAAACCTTGTTCCATTGCCTCTCCTCAAAATGAACAGAAAAAAAAAAAAACCAAACCAAAGACAAATTATTACATGCCAAGAAATAGCACAATGGCAAGGTGCCACAATTAAACAGACAGTCCCAATGCTGTATTGGTGAAGAGTTCTGAAAAGGAGAGTTGTTTTGTGTTTTTTTCTGCAGTTCTAAGTGTTAAAAACACTTGAAGCTCCTTTTCTTTTTTCTCTGTTTAGACAGAAAACGAGTGCACTTGGTGTTACTTAGCCCCTGGGTATTAGTGTTCCCACACAGCAGTGCCAAGCTCTCACAGGCAAGAGCTGGAGACGTCAAACCAAACGCGTGGGGTTTGGAGAACATCTTTGAGCTCTGCCCAGAGGCACCGCAGTGCAAAACGGAGCACTGGAACCTGAAAGGAAGTTGCTTACAGGTTTACAAAATGTTTAATTTGTTCTTGTTCAACAACCAGAAGGTGCCTACCACTTCTCATGATGCTGACTCCGCAGTTTCCCTTTTCAAATCTGACGCCTTCATACTTGTGTCCTGTCGGAGGAAAGAAACCAGACATCAGTGGCAGTGATTGCTCCCTTCTGCCCCATCGTAATGCCCCTGTGGGGGACGCTGCTTTAAGTGACCGTGGTGTGAATGGAACTGACATCTCCCGAATACCCAGGGACAACAGCGAGCTCCATGTCTCTCAAGTGGGATGAACCAGTCTGCACACCATGTCCTGCAGCCCTCAAACACGCAATGGGAATAGGGCCAACACCATCATTGGTAAAGAACTTACGCTTTTTTTACCTTTAAAAGTCGTGTCAGAAAAGTGGCACAGAAGTGATCCTTTCCAAATATGTGTTTTATAACTCAGATATTCTGTGATTATTTTAAATAAAGGACACTACGCAAAATCAAGGTAAACAGCATGTCCCCTAAGAAGCCAGGTAAGTGCAGTCCAGTGCTGCAGGTGGAAGAGTCAGAACTGAAATGTGATGCTGCAGTGCTACTGTCACTGTGTTCTTGATCACTGAAAGAATAAAGTGGGCAATGGTATGTGTATGAGAGATACAATCATCGTAGAATCATGGAATGGTTTGTGTTGGAAGGGACATTAAAGATCATCTTGTTCCACTCCCCTGCCATGGGCAGGGACACCTCCCACCAGCCCAGGTTGCTCAAAGCCTCATCCAGCCTGGCCTTGAACCCCTCCAGGGATGGGGCATCCACAGCTTCAACCTGGGCCACTGCCTCGCCACCCTCACAGGGGACCTGCCAAATTGTGTAACGTAGAGAGAAGACGGTCCATCTGTCCATCACCAACTGCCCTGGAACAGAAGTGACACCAGTGCTCAAGAAGTAAAGGAGCTGCTGTTTTGTTTAAAAAGGAGCAAAGGTAAGTGACTGTGCCTTCCTAAACTCTGTCTAGTTTCCAAATTGAGTGTTTTCAGTCCATCTTTTCTCTAACTAAAAGTAAAGACATACAAATTATTCACTGTGAAGGGCAGAGGGGAAGAGGGTGTCAATGTACAGAGCTGCTCTCGCCCTGCAGAAATGCAGACTGAATTCTCAGGGGGAGGAGGACTCACTTGGTGTTTGTCTTAGAGGTGTGCTGTGGGCTCACAGTGTGTACCTGGGCGATTCCCAAGAAGCTGCTGCTGCACTGAGCAGCTGTCTCTGAGGAATGCATGCAGCCTTACATATCTGTACATTTAACAGGAGCAAACCAAAATTGCTGCAATGGGTTTCCTCTGGTGTCAATACAGCCACTTGTTTTATTTCCCACTTATCATTGCTCCCTGCTGGCCCCCAGTTGCAAACAAAGGCGGATTTAGGCTAGCATGGCAAAACTGCTCATGCCAAATACTTTTTCTTTAATGGGCATGTGAAATATCATCAGTTTTAATTCAAGATTGCAGTATGGGCAAGTAAACTGATCTTGCACGTACACTGGTAAATCTTCATCACTGTTTTGCAAGAACAGTTTAAAACCTTAGTAAAATGACAACTATATGACTGTATGTTTTGCTCAATTGTGTTGTTACATGCCCTCTAGCTTTTTAAACACCAGAAGGGGCCTTAACTCTCTACCCTGAATGTTAAACTGTTTCAGCCCCAGGCTGCCCGCGGAGGTGGTCACAGCACCAAGGCTGTCAGAGGTTAAGGAGTGTCTGGGTGACACTCTTAGTCATATAGTTTAGTTTTATGTAGTCCTGTGAGGAGCAGGGACTCTATGATCCTTATGGGTCCCTTCTAACTCAAGATATTCTATCATTCTTGTAACAGTTCAATATTTGTTTATACTAGTTAAGCTTCCACTTCCAGTCCTACCCGGGAGAGGATAAATTTCCCACATACCTGTAGGAGTGGTCACGGTACATTCTGTGTATGGCAATTGGTTCAGTCCCTCTTCAACCACGAGTCTGATCTGTAGAACCAAAGAGATCGGTCAGCTTAAAGGGATTTGTTATGTATGGAGATAAGATAGTAAATGTTGGTAGCTTTTACAAGTACTAGGTGAGCACCTAGCAGCCTACAGGGTTTAAAAGCGTCTCTGTAATAGTACTTAGGGACTGACTTTAGAGACCTTTTCGGGGTGGTGCCTATGTTTTGTCCACAAATCAAATGAAGGCATTAAAAACAAAACTGGGGAAAGGAGTGGGGGTTCATCAGCTGTCATAAAGCTGGCTTTATTTACATCTGGCAGGCATAGGTATCACAGATAATTTTTTCTCAAAAAGTGAGTGAAGCACCAATGCAACTTCATTTTGCTGACAGAAGAAAATACTAGTGAGAAAAAGAGAAAATTCACCCTCTCAGTTCCCCATCAGCTGGGCTCTGGGGTCTATTTTCACATCTGTATTTCTGTGATGGAACTGTGGTAGGGCTGCCAGAACAGCCACAGGAGCTGCAGCGATGTAAACGCACCACTGAGTGCCCAAAGACAAGGCAGTAGATCTAGAAATCTCTTTCTCACCTCCTTCTGGCACCTGCCAGCTGTGGTTACTATGGGATGCTCTGCCAAGCACCTGCGCTTCCACACAGCACAGATGGCCCAGTTCA